TACAAACAGTGTTTGTGTTCAGTGTGTGTATACTCTGGGGCCCTTCCACTCTCGTTTGGCTGCCTGGCTTGACTACTGCTGCAATACTCTGCTAGGGGTTAATCCCCAATCACTAACATTGGTTATGGGCCCAGCAGCATAGTCTAACTAACCAGGATATAGCAGAGAGAGTTGGTGTGAGTTGCACATTACTGTAAAAACAAACTGTTTTAATTAGTTTAAAATAGTCAAAATATCTGAAGAGCAATGGCACAAGTAAATTTGTCACAACTGTCCATGATATCCAGGCTGGATGGAACAAACTATGTTTCATGGTCAATGAAATGTAGTTTACTTCTACGTAAAGAAGGTTTGTGGGACATTATAGCAAACCCACCAGATGTGAGTAGCTGGGATCCTGCTAATGATGATGATAACGAAAAGTTACAAGACTTTAAACTGAAGAATGAGCAGGCTTTATGCATCATAGGACTGACTCTCTGTGATCAGCAGCTTGTCCATATTCGTGGAGAAGAAAATGCTGCAAACTGCTGGGAGAACCTCAGGAAGATTTATGTTCGGGACAGTGTAGGAGCACATATAAATCTTACACGGAAGCTTTTTCGAACGCATCTTCAGAGGAATGGAGATATGTTAGTTCATTTAAACTGTATGAAGAGCATTTTTCAAGATTTGCAAGAAAAAGAGCTTATATTTAATGAACTGCAACAAGTCTACATAATATTATCTTCATTAGATCAAAGCTATGATGACTATGTGACTTCGTTGGAAGTATTGCCTAAGGATAGCCTCTCATTAACCGAGATTACAGGCAGGCTACTAGAAGAAGCCAGAAGAAGGCGTGAGCGTGACGAGCTGAGAGAAGATAAGAAAGAAGAGAAATTATCTTCAAAGCTTGAAAGAAACCAGCTTAGCAAAGTAAAGCACCCGGAAGAAGAGAATTTATCTTCGACGGCATACACAATTAAAAAGTGTTTTAATTGTGGAGGCAGAGGACATTTGGCAAGATTCTGCAAAAAGAGAAAAAGCCAGAATATAAAAAAGCCAAAGAAAGCGTTTGAACTAGCCACGTTTAGCAACTCTGATGTGAAGAATGATATATGGGTGGTTGACAGTGGCGCATCCCACTGCATCACAAGAGATAAGACAAAATTTATAAAAATGTCTAAAAGCTCTCAACATATATCTCTTGCTAACGGCTGGAATCTTAAAGCGAAAGGAGAAGGTCTTGCACATTGTCCGTGCATAAACCAGGATATAAAAATGTTGTATGTACCGCAACTAAAGTTTAATTTGCTTTCAGTAAGGGTATTAGATAAATTAGGTTATGTAATTACTTTTAAAGATAATAATTGCATAATTGAAAAAGATAACAAAAGGGTAACTGCACCTTTAAATGGAACATTATATGTCTTAGATAATAGTAAGAAAGGGGAGGCACAGACTGTATTTAATAATATAAA